AATAATAGTGCATCACCTTATGAATTGTGATTTACCTCAGATTGCAGATTAAGGTTTTAATGTTGCTTCTCTTTCTCAACTCAATTTATTATGTACTCTATTGCTACTCGTTCGATTCTCATTCATTGACGTCCAAACGTATAATCATTTCTTTACCAATGATATCACTTTAACATCTTCAGCAGCCAAGCTAAAAATTCTCCCCTTGAGGAAATAAAATGCTTAGTAATTGTTTATCTTTTCCTCCAGGATGGTTTAGTTGACTGTGAAGAAACGAAATGTAGGCCTATAACTTGTCCTGGAAAATTAATGCCAAGTGGAAAATGTTGTGCAGTTTGTCCAAGTAAGTATTAAAGCTGATGTCACTAAATGTAGTGACGAAACGGCATGTTCGATGATGTGAAATTATGAAATAGTGTGCATCTGCCTTGCCCCTTGCCTACTGCATGGAAGGAAGCGGAAGTGATTCCCATAGTGAAAGACGGAGACCACGAAGTAGCGTCAAACAACCGCCCCATATCTCTTCTTGCCATAGCTTCTAAGGTTTGTGAAAAAATTGTTCTCGAACAATCCAGTAGCTATCTTATAAGCAAAAACCTGCTCTCTCCTCATCAAAGCGGAAATAAAAAAACTCCATTCCACTGGACATGTAGTAGTACCGACACGATGCTAGAGGCTATGGACAAAAAGGAACTCACCGCTCTAGTATTATTAGATCTCTCGAAAGCCTTCGACAGTATTAACCATCACAGATTGTTACACAAACTAGCGAATGTCGGTGCTTCCCCAGCAACAGTACAGTGGTTTAAAAGCTACTTGTTAGATCGCTTTCACTCCACCCGAATCAACTCCACCCTATCTGATCCAGTGGATCCACTACCAATCACTCACGGAGTACCCCAAGGTGCGACGCTTTCATCATTATTATTTTGTATTTACTTGAACGATCTACCCTCCGTATCTCGTGACTCCAACCTTGAAGCGTACGTTGATGACTCGAAAGTTCTCCTCTCCTTCCCATTACGTCAGATAAATGCAGCAATTACAAATCTCGAGCAAGACCTACACAGAGTTGCAAGTTGGTGCTGTGAAAACCACCTTTTAATTAACCCGGGGAAAACAAAGTACATGATGATCGGAACAAGGCAGCTGATGAGCAAACTACCTACAGACACATCAGTTTTATTCTTGGGCAAGTCTCTTAAACCAGTGGACTCTGCTAAAGATTTAGGTGTCACATTAGATAGACATCTAAATTACGACAAACATGTCTCGCTTCTTGTCTCGTCGTGTATGAACAAATTATGCCAGATAAATCGTCCAAAAAATAGTTTCGACACAAAACTTTGTCGGAAATCATTTCATCCTTAGTCATTAGCAAAATGGTTTATTGTTCTTCGGTGTGGTCGAATACGTCTGCCTCAAACGTAAAGAAAGTTCAGTCGATCCAGAACTTTGCCTGCAAAATCATCACAAAATCCAGGAAGTATGACCACGTAACTCCACTTCTATACGTGAATTGAATTGGCTCACAGTAGACAAACTACTAGATTTTAGAGAGATCAGTTTGACCTAGAAATGTGTGAATAACCTAGCACCCGACTATCTTTGTAACAAATTGATAAAAAGGTCATCAATCCACGACCGTAGGACTCGTACACACGACTCTCTTCAAATACTTCTATTTAAGACTGCAGCTGGCCAACGATATTTGCATATAGAGCCGTCCATATTTGGAACAATTTAGACAAGAACTTGAAAGACTGCTCTTCTCTTCAAATTTTTAAGGTAGCACTTAAAAAACATTTGCTTGCAAAAGATAACATTTAGTATAGCCAACTAAACTTTGTATATGATAATTGTTTAAACTTATGTTTGTAACCTTAATTATTATTGCATGCATGTAACTGTAAATAATTTCTGAAAAACCCTTTTAGCGAGAAATTTATTAAATATCTATCTATCTATCTATCTATCTATCTATCTATCTATCTATCTATCTATCTATCTATCTATCTATCTATCTATCTATCTATCTGTCTATCTATCTATCTATCTATCTATCTATCTATCTATCTATCTATCTATCTATCTATCTATCTATCTATCTATCTATCTATCTATCTGTCTATCTATCTATCTATCTGTCTATCTGTCTGTCTGTCTGTCTGTCTGTCTGTCTGTCTGTCTGTCTGTCTGTCTGTCTGTCTGTCTGTCTGTCTGTCTATCTGTCTGTCTATCTATCTGTCTATCTATCTATCTATCTATCTATCTATCTATCTATCTATCTATCTATCTATCTATCTATCTATCTATCTATCTATCTATCTATCTATCTATCTATCTATCGGGTCACACGTGAAGGAAAAACCTCAGAATGGTTGCCAATGAATGCAGGTGTCCCTTATGGAACTAAGCTCGGACCAATTTTGTTTTTGGTAATGATAAATGACCTCGATGTTAAAACACACGCATTCAGTCCTGCCTAGATTCAATCAATTCTTGGGCTTCATGTAACCTTATGAAACTTAATTAATCCCAAAAAATGCAAGGAACTACGTGTTTGCTTTCTCAGCGAAACACCTGAACTATCACCATTTTTAATTGACGGCCACGCGCTTGTTGTTGTGCGGTAAGTGATCTAAAATGGAATGATCACATAGAATCAGTTGTATACAAAGGCTTCTAAACGCTTATGTATCATCCACATATTACGGCGAGGTGGCGTTCTCGTGGAGGATTTATTGAGTATACACTTTGCCTTAATAAGATCGGTTCTGGAGTACTGTTGCATTGTACGTATGGCACCATGCCTTACCTTTGTACCTTGCCGACGAATTAGAGTGAGTGCAAAAACGAGCGCTGAGAATTATTTTACCAGGCTACTCTTATAGGGAAGCCTTAGCACGCCTTGGGTACCTTACCTTGCCTTGCCTCGCCTCATCTCATGTCATCTCACCTTACCTTACCTTACCTTATCTATGATCTATTCTTATTATACAGATCCAGAAAATGGCGTATCACTGAGTAAAAAACAATGCCGTTATAATGGGAAGAGTTATCAACAGGGAGAAGTTTGGAATATTCCCATGGAAAAAGAAATTGGAGATAATAACTGTGCTGAATGTACCTGTCATGTAAGACTATCTGTTCACCCTGGACGAATTCGGAATCGTACGCAAATCCGTCTGGTCCCACCTGTTCACATGGGAATTCGTAGCTGAGCTCGAATTAGCCGAGCTTCCTGTGTGAATAACACAATCAGGGAAAGTTGAGTACGATCTCGAATTCTAAGTGAGTCAGTATTTATTCCTGAAAAATCATATATTTGACATTTAACTGATCAAACTGAACCAACCGTTTTTCTTCTATAATCAATTAAGTCAGTATTGAAACTTGTCCAAATAGTGGAAGTTAGACTAAATTAGATGAAGTGACAAGTATGTCCCAATGACAATACTTTAAAGAACTAAACAGGGCATGTCTATGTGAAAGTGATGATTCGTTTAATGCATATATCTGAGGATGATCGAATTGGAGTAACGCCTGTAAAGCTCACTCACACTCAAAAAGTGGCGGTTCAATCTGAGCTTCCCTTGAGTGTCAGTGCTGTTTTTGAAGAGCAAATAAAGGAGGCAAAATAATGCATGATGTGACCACTCATCAAGAATATCTAATAGTTATAACTTTAACATATTAGATTTGCCATTTAAATGTTAAACCTATAAACACTAATTTCTTGTCATATTATCAACTCGTGTGTATCTAGCTGAATAAGAAGAGGAATGTTCACTCACGTTAAAATAACGTTAGAAGGATGGTAGAAGTTAATGCACATTTTCATTCAGTTGTTTTGAACAGGTTATTATTTTCAAGAATCGACATGCGCAAGTTAATGCAACGTCATTATTTAATGTCAGGAGGTTATTATTTTTAATAATGACCTCCAATATTTAAAATAATGACCCCGATTTTTCGCTTGAATAAAAAATAAACCATTGTGCGTTACAACTTTGCTTTAAAGCAAATTTTAATTACACTACAAAAATTTCCATTTTAATTTAACTACAACGTATAAAGTTTTAAAAAACTAGGGCTTATTAACTATTGTAATGTTGCAATTGCCGCCACTAATATTTAAAACAACCGACCCCATTCCATCATCACCCTTCTCTATTGGCGCGCTACTTTCCGCCGTTGCACCCTTCTCTGACGTGATACCTTGCACGATTTTCGAGACATTTGCATGCTGCTCCTCTGTTTCTCGCTTATAACAATCGAGAGCCTCGGAACGATGCCCAGTAACCCCCTTTATCAGCTTATCATCAACGCCTTCACGAAATAACCTCGACACGGCTGTGGCCCGCAATGAATGATTAGTAAAGTGCCCATTTACACCCGCTTTCTCCATTATACACTTAACCATACCTTGTAACTTATTGTGGCCTATTGGGACACTGGAAAACCATATTTGCTTCCTTTCATAGTTTTGCAAGGGTTTCAAATAAAACGCTTTTCTCAAACCCTCTTTAGGGCATCTCGAAATGTAGAGCTTAACAATATTTACAATGCATTTATCCGCACATTCAACATTGGCATATGCCTTGCCCGTTCGTGGAGCTACTTTTCTATGTTTTAACCCTCCTTGAAACGTTTTAGATACACCCTCGCTGTAAAGCAAATATTCCTTTCCTCTGTTATCACTGTGAAATGAAAAACTACTCATGCTCAAAAGCCTATGTTCAGAACCTGCTCGCAAGCCAAAATTAAGACCAATTAAGTAAAACACTGTCCGTAGTAAGGATTCCGGATCGTTAATGGCCAAAAAACCCTGCTCCCAAAGGTCACGTTCGACCTCAACAGGGATTACTTCAGCTTGCTTTGGCCTTATACCCACATTATTTTGAGCCGAACATTTCATTTCAACATCTAACGACTTTCTGACTTTTTCAAATTCTAAGCTCGAAAAAAAGTTAACACTTCGCCCTTTTAACTCTAGGTATTTTTGCAAACTACTGATTATTTCATACAGTGTTTTTCCAGGATACCTTTCTCCACCGTCTTTTCTTACTTCTGCGATGAACTGATGTAATACTTCGTTGAGGTCAACTTCTGGCATCATATGTATTTCTGACTTGTAAACCAAGAGAATTTTATCAACCAAACGCATTTCCCTTCCATCTTGAGAGATCTCCTGGCGCCATTGTGACCAAGCGTCGAACATTCTGTATGCCCACATCGCTTTCCTCTTAGTATTTTCTGGGATGCTTCGCGAAGCCAACTCTATCATACTTTTACTGCTGCAAATCTCAAACCGGTCAGACGTATTCTGTTGCTCTATTGCAAAATATAAATAAATTCAAATATTAATTGCTATGATTAATGCTTGTTACTAACTTTTAAACAAAACTTAGCTAAGACAATTTTCACCTTTTCTATCCAACGTGCTTTTCCCAGGTGCATTACATCGCCGCTCACTGACACTGTCTATCTGATTTGGCCTTTCCAGTGAAATTCTCCGCTCTGCAAACAAATCCAATGACTGGGAAAGTATTCCATCCAGCCCATCGTCTTCCAAATCTAGACAGTCGCAATCCCAATCATTGGTCTTTTCAACTTCAAATTCATCGTCATATCCTTTTCCAAACAAACTAAAATCTCGCTTTCTCGAACCAGACATCCTCACTCCACAAATATCAATCAAGTAATAAAAAGGTAGCTGTTGAAAAAACACAGCCCAGGAATGCGCATACAAAACACAAATATGGTGTGAAAAATAATAGTACCACAACAATGAACTTGTAACTATCTTAATAGTTTTCTTTGTTCATAAACACCATAATGTGCATTAAGTCGGATAATACCCTCGCTCTCGGTATTATTAAAAATAATGACCTCGCGCTACGCGCTCGGTCATTATTTTTAATAATACATCGAGCTTGGGCATTATCCTATACATAACAAATGACTCTCATAAATTATTACCCTTTCTTTGCAGAATGGACGAGTGTCCTGCGCTGTTCGTATTTGTCCAAAGTTGAAGTGTGCGACCATAATGCAAGTTAAAGGAAAAGATTCCTGTTGTACACAGTGCCGAGGTAGAAACAATACATGCATAAAAGTTCATTTTTGGTTAAAACACAAAATAATATATTCAATAACTGTAAAAGAATAAAATATAATTATATGATAGAATGCAACCATATATTATATTATTAATTTTAGTTAACTTTCCAGGTTTCCCGCTTACGCCAATTGGTGGCTTATTTCAGTTTAAGCCTGCAGTAACTGTTCAAGGTAAGCACTTATAATTACATTCCTTTGAGATCCTACAAGCATATTTACGAAACATACAGTATCACTGCAGGCAATAATTGGAATTTTTGTACCCGGCGCAATACGTAAAATCTTGAGTATATAGCCAGTCCATTTAACTTAAAGAAGTTGTTTTATGTTTCCAGGTTCTTGCTTTGACAAAGGACGTTATTATAAAAACAAAGATATGTGGAATCCTTTAGTATCCACGTCAGAAACTAAAGCCTTCCAACAGCCAAACTGTGATCTCTGCGTTTGTCAAGTACGTTTAAGCATATCACTTTCGAGCATGCATGCCGTGTTTGTCCAGAATTAAAATGGACAAACACTTCATTGAAATAATCCAGTCTAAGTGGAAATGATGAAAGTCTAACA